GAGTCAGTACCGACTCATAGCAACCCTGTGCACAATAGAATGAAACACTGCCCAGTCCTGAGCCAACCTCACAATTGTATGCTGTTGTTGTCAGCAACTCAATGAAAACTAGTTTGATTTTCATTTTGGAAGCATATTGAGTTTTTCTTACTGATTCAATGAACTTTGAATGAATTATCATCAATGTGTACAATGGGAATGATACCTGACTAACGAGATAGTCTTGGCATTGAAATATATCTGTAACAACTCTGAACAAAGTCTCATATGAAAAATATTCAACAAATGATAGCAGATACAAGCAGTACTTTTGTTTTATACTAATATCCTAGTCAAAGTGAAGACCAGGACAGTCTTTGTGCCTTATGTAAAGCACAGTTCAGGGCCATCCTCACAATAGTCATTACATGTGAGCCCCTTGTTGAGGCCCTATTTTGGGAAAGTATATTTCATATACTATATGACCCTTGTATAAGAGTTATCCAAATGAAATGTGATCATATTCATTTTACTGATTAGAAAGCTCAGGCTCAGACACTATAGGTCACATGGTTAGCAAGTAACAGACCTGAAATCAAAACTCTGCCCTGGCTGGCTTTAAACATCTTAAATTTGATCTTTCTTCCGCAAAGCACAGTTTTCAATGTACCTTGTGTGATGTGTGGAAGGGAAGGTATTCTGCTAGTGAAGGAGTTTTAAAATGTGAATAGGAATTCTGGGAAAACTGGCATAAGGCCACACTAATCACAGACAAGGAAGTAAACCTGTCCTTCACCTGTCATCAATAGACCTTCCCTGTCTCTTGCCAACAGTTTGTGTTGGTACCATGTTTTTTGGACACTGTAAGGAGAGGTCAAAGTTGTGGATAATGGGGAACCAGCCTCCCTAGACTGCTCTACATGTTTTGGCCCTAGGGCCTCAGTACAGTTTTCTGCTATTTCTTCTGTGAGGTTTTCAACCTGAAACACTGGAGTGGTCAGAGATGGTTCTGTAAGGATATTGAACTAGGTCTGGATGACTAGTCTAGGTCAGGATGACTAGAAAGGTCAAGGAAGGCAATTAATGGAGGATCCAGGACTCTGTCATTGACTCATTACATTTTCTTTTGAACTCTTATGTGTGTACTTGGTTCAAGGAGTCCTGATGTGGCACTGTAGGATAAGCACTGGACTGCTAACTTGAAAGTCAGCAATTAAAACCCATATGCTGCTCCTTGGACACTCTATACAGGGTTGTTATGAGTGGGAAACAACTTGCTGGCACTTAATAACAACAACAGCATCAACACCAACTCCCCTAAAGACCAGGTATGCAGCTCAAGTTATGCTGAGGATGGCATCCCAAGAGGTATCTGCATAGGTTTGGCCAGGAAACTTCTGGTAGATAGCTTTCTTGAAAACACACAGGAACATGGTATAAAGTCAGAACTTAGAACTTGGGGACGAAAGCATTAGATTGATAGGGAATTTTGGTGGGTTCCAAGGATTCCCATGCTGGGAATCAGAGCTTCTGAGAGGAATGGGCTGGAGAGGTCAGGCCATGAACACCTGGATTTGAGGGGTTAAGCATAGATTGGAGGACAAGGACTTGACAATTTTGATGAAATACCACTGTTTTCTCCCCTCATTCTCAACCCTTTGTCTTTACTGTTTCCCTATCTGACTTTTACTTACCAAAGCCATTTGCAAAACTTTTTCATCCATTGCTCAGTTATGAACTTTGCAGTACCTGAAGCATCTCCCAGACACTAAAATGCCACATGAACAGGAAGACCTACTACTTTAAACATGGGATCTATGCAAGTGTCAAGCAGAAAGATGCCTGAAAGAAACCTCAGCCCTTCTCTGACCTTCTCAGACTTTCTCCATTCTTTCTATCCTGCTCACATCCAGCCCTGCACACTCTTGACATCCCATGGTCTCCTTGACATCTCATCCTATCTGTGCTTTTCCTGGGGTTTATTGTTGTATACAATAGGTTTTTCTTTTGTTTTTAAGGAACTATTTTACATGTAAGTATAAAAAGAAACCTACATTGATGAATCCATAGAATTTTAGTCATCATTTGGCGAGCAAAGGATGCTCCTTGGAAGATCACTAAGTCGCTGAGATCAGTGTCCTCCTGACCACAACAGGCAGGGTCTTCCAAATTTGATTGGACAGAAATATGGTAAAATGGTTTTCTGTCCTCCCTGTTTACTTTCATAGTTCGTATACACACTATTTAAAGGATTCAAGGCATGCAGCACACTGCATCCCATCTCTGCATATCTTGGGCTTTTGTTGTTGTTGTTTTGTGTGTTAGATTTCCTTTTGATTTAAGGAACTGTTTTACATGTAAGTATAAGACTAAATCTACATTGATTAAACTACAGAATTTCAGTCATCAGTTGGGAAGGAAAGGGAAGTATTTTATAAGATGCTCCTTGGAAGATTCTGAAGACACCTAAGAACAGTGTCCCCTTAACCACAGCAGGATGGACTTTGCAATTTGACTGGACTAGAGACTCTTTCCTGCACAGATATATGGCTAAGGGACTTCCTGTCATCACTATCTACTTTCAAATATCATAATATACTCACTACTTAAAGGACTCTTCCTGAATGTCAGCACATTCCATCTTCTTTTCTGAACAGATTTCAATTTTGTATTATTTGATAGTGCTCCTGAGAATTAAGGATGCTGTTTTCAAAAGTGAGTGCAGAGAAGATGAGAGCCATGTCTCCAAGAAGACACGTATTCATTGTTCCTAGAAAGTCAACCAGCCACACAGGAAGAGACCGGGGTGGGCTAAGGATCTCTTGAGACCTGTTGTCTTGGCTCTTTCAAGGAGACAGAAAACAAAGCACCTTTTAAAAATTGCTGTATTTGGACTCAATTATTAAAGCATTGTTAATGTCAAGAGGGCTGAAAGTGAAAAAGCAATATTCCATTAATTAATTGTTAAAAGGTACAGATAATGATAGGATACCCAGAGAAAGTCCCCAGATCAAGCCAAAACTCTTGATAAAGAGATGATGAAAGTGATCACTGGGGATTGTCAGTGACTGATGATAGACCAAAGCCTGACTGTCCCCAGGAACATTCTCAGGATGTCCTTCTAAAGCTAGATGGATAAACGAGCTCAGTCACCTACACATCTGCAGAACAAGGGGAACTTAAAGATACTTGTATCTTTTTTCTTTTAACAGCACCACAGTCCATCCAGCAGTAGAGGAGAACCAGATCAAAGAAGCAATGAGCACTTCTTAACAAAATCTATATTTAATTCCATCTTACAGAGGACTCTGGTTAGCAACTGTTCATCATTTCCATCATAGGTGTCTATCTACACCCTGACCTTTGGCCTTCCTTTCTGCCCTAATCATGTCTGCACAGCAGCCTAAAAACACCAGTGAGATAGTGGAAGAACATTACTCTAATGAGTAGGGTGAGGAACTGAAAAGACAAATGTATTGTAGTGTGCTCAACTTGAGGATCTAACATATGTAAGAGCACCATCAATACTGATTAAAATGACACTTCTTCCCTTTTCCATAAGTGGAAGGGTCACACTTTCTTCTTCTAGGCAGTGAGGTTTGGACCTCACCCACAGACAGAAGTTGTCTCCTATTGACTCCAAGGTCAGCCCGTGGGTGGGACCTCTTTTCAGCAGGGAATTGGGTTCTAATTTGAGTTGGCATCTTAGACTTGGCAACTGTATGTTGAGGTTGGCTATGACAACACACCTTAAGATATAGAGGCTGAGATTCTGACCTCCATGGTCGAGAATGCTGTATGTAGGCAGGAAGAGTACTTTGGGAAGACTCCAGGGCAGTAGACTTTGTTGAGATGCTAAGTGGAAATCAAGGCTATCAAGTTCCTCTTCTTCTTCTTCACTGGACCCTTCTCCAATCCCAAGTGTTTTAATAATAGAAGACATTTCTATGAACATTGTGGTATCTCCGGTTCATAGACTAGGGAAAGCATTACAATGACTTTGGTGAGGAGATGTTGATTGTTCAGACTGAAGTTCCTGTGTCTTCTGAATCTGTGTAAAGAGAGCATAGTCTTTTGACTTAGACAGGTTACTGGCTCCTTTTCCCTCTTTAGGTACGTAATCTACTTTCAGCTTTTTTGTGCCTGTTTCTTTGCTGATCCCTTCTTGAAGACGTCTGGTATCTCTGCTCCCTATGTCTTGACTGGCCTCAGATTCTTGACAGTTGGACTTCATTTAGAGCACATTATAACTTGGGAGTGCCTCCACATTCTCTGCCTCTCTCAACTTCAACAGTCTCTTCTCCATGAGCTGAAATGAAGGAAAATGGGCAGGTACTGGCTCTGTACAAGTTTGAGAACAGGTGACAGAGACTACGGTATTGTGGCAGGATTCAGGGAAGTCAGTCACATTTTACTGAAACAACAGTTACTGTGGTTTCAGTAACTCATACTGCAGCTCATCCTGCTCATCTTCTTGTGCTATATCACTAATCTTTGATTCCTTACCACCTTTCCTCTAAACCTCTCCTTAAACTCCTACACCTCCTCATTCTATACCTATTCCCACACCTGGAGCTCTCCTTCCCCAGAAACAGAGCCAGTCAAGGCACTGTAAATTGAGAAGAAATCATGCAGGTTTCATGTTCTGATTTTCCTTTCCTCCTCTGGTGTACCTGAGTGTGGGTGAGTCCTTCCTCTTGCTCCAGCTCCTGAATTAAGGACAAGGGATCTGCCTGTGGTTCTGGTGATAGTAACATTTCCAGGAATTGTGGGTGAATAACTGCTACCACCTGATAATGGAAAAGAGGAGGTTGTGAAAATCCTTGACAAGGAGTAACCAATGACATAGAGGATTCAGAAGTAACTTCATAATCCCACAGTTGAGTGTGCACCAGTTGTTGTATTATAAAGGAAATGTGGTGGGCAGTGGTTAAAGGACTCAGCTACTAACTAAAAAGTTGATGATTCAAACCCTCCAGCCTCTCTGTGAGAGAAAAATATGACACTCTGATATCCTAAATTTTGGAAACACTATGGAATAATTCTATAATCTGTTCTATAAAATCCATGGTAGCGTAGTATTTACGAATCTGGCTGTGAACCGCAAAGGAAGGAGTTCAAAACTGCCAGCTGTTCCGTGGGAGAAAGATGAGGCTCTCTGCTCCAGTAAAAATTTACAGCCTCAGAAACCCTGTACAGTGTTGCTATGAGTCGGAACCGAATCCATGGCACATAACAACAACAACAACAACAACAATATAGAATCTCTATGAGTCAAAATAGATTTACAGAAGTGATTTGGCTGATTTTATTAAAACACCAACACCCCAAACTACACACAAAGAGCGTACAACACACAAGTTGTTCAGAACATAAGTAATCAAACTTAATTACAAAGACCTGGGATCATACCCCAGCTGCCTAGTTCCTGTGAGTGTCAAACTTTTGAAATCTACAGACGCTTGACCTCCAGATCCAGCTCACCTTGGTTACAAAGGCTTCCTGTGTACATAGCTTGTCCATGTAGCTCAAAAGTTTTGGGTCTGAGTATATGTCATTATTTACCTGATGCTGCTCATTTTCTGCTTTCTTTCTGGTTCTCTGGTGACTGAAAAGGCAAGTCTCAGTAGACCTTCCAAGATTTCAACATACTCTCTCATGGCATCAGGAGGGATCTTCTTAGGTGCCTTGACCTCCCAAGAATACTGGTGCCTGTGTTGCTGCTTGTGTTTGGGCACCTCCCTTCTTTAGAATGAGCACTGGAGGAAGGTTGGAAAAAAGGAGGTGAATGTAGTAGCAAACTTTAGTTCTTCTCACCCAACCGCATGTTGTAAGTGTGAGTTTTTGGAGATACTGACATGGTTCTTGGTGTGCTGGCCCAGCCTGAAGCCACAAGAAATGTGAGAGGAGAAGATATAAGACACAGAAGGCCTAAAAGTATCATTCTGTAAGAAAACTTGGAGCTACTGTTTTTCCAAGAAATCCTCTCATTCGGAAGCACTTTTGAGGATGGTTAGATATTAGTTCCCAACTGTGGTAATCTATACAAGACAGTACTTATTAAAATGGACCAAATTGCTATCTAGTGTGTAATGAAGGGTAGCTGACACCACAGTCTCTTGTCAAGTTCTTCATATTGTAATAAGCATGGGTCCCTCTTAAAAGGACAGTACCAGATGTAATGGCAATGTAGTTCCCTATGCATGGCCAGTGTCTATAAACTCCTTTGACCTGTAGACCTTAGCTCCTGTTACAACTTGGTTAGCCAAACCTGTGTTCTGGCCAGCTACAGTGTCTGAAGACCTGAGAGAATGGACTTTTTTTGGAGCTGGAGGAGACAGGCATGCTGACCCATTTCTCTTCTTCAACTTCTGAATCCGCATCTCCTCGTCGAACTTAAATTCCATGAACCAAGCAAAGGTGAGGGAGGCACAGATGAGGCTGAGAAGAAGGCAACGCCAACCAAGAGTACTTACATCAGCAGCTGGTGATTGCAGAGAAGTAGGGAAAGATGGGCCTTCAATGGTCTGTCCATTTCCCTGGAATGAATTTCTCTCTCAGGGCCACAAGTAAAGCTTGTGGGGTACTTACAGCAACACTTCCTGATCCCTACACCTGCAGGGTAACTTAAGTCATAAAGGAAATGAACCTTGACTTTTTGGAAGTTTCTTTAGACAGAGCCATCGTTGTCACTTCCTTCCAATACCCTTAATACATGGTGGCATACAACACTGACACTAACTTGTTTAATTAAATCAAACTTATATTACACACAGCAGGATCCCACTGGTAAGTTCTCTACTACAAACCTATTCTTTCCTTGCCTGAAACACACAAAAGATCTAGCATCAGTGTTTTGGAAATGCAATGTAACCGACAGCAGATAAACCTGCTGGGTTTGTTAAGCACCGTAGAGTCAATTCCGACTCATAGTGACCCTGTATAAGGTTTCTGAGGAGTGTCTAGTACGTTTGAACCTCTGACCTTGCAGTTCAAATTGACCTTGCACACAGAATACCAAGTGAAGTGGGTTTAGGGGAGAGCTCCAAAACCCTGAACCACATATGTAGGAAATCTTGGACTTTTGAATCTGCCAGGCTCAGTGGCTCGTAGCTGACAACTTGGGTGAGACCACATGGCAAGACCAAGTAGGGGAGCAAGCAGACCTGCCATAGACTAATGCCTGCGGAAACCTCGGAGACAAAGATGGACAATATTATTTGTGTGCTTAGTTTGTTTGACTTAGTTCTGATTTTTTTGGTGTCTGTGGCCTCTCACTGTCTGTACACTTGCATTCTGGTGATTAGAAGGGGTGCCTGAGCAAAACAGCCACAGCCAGCCCTGAACTGTTTATTAATGGGAAAAGGCCAGAACAGGGGTGTGGAGTGGTAGAGAGTCTGAAAACAAAACAGGCCAAAATTAAATCCTGAGGTATCCTTGAAGGCAACAAGCTGAAAGAGGATATTAAAGTCATATTCATATTAGGCTACAGATTATTTTTTTTCTCTTCTCTCTCTTTTTTGTGATTATAGACTACAGTATCCAATCTTTTTTTGCTATTGTTTTTTTGCTGGTGACCATGTTGGTCACCGATAAGGGAAGAGGGGGGGAAACAGTAATGAAGTTGCGAGCAAAGCCCAACCACATAACCACATCCAATAAACCCCCTCTGAACCTGGGTGGAGACCTGAATGTCCAGCAGTACGGCAAGACCCAGGACTTCTGGGCCCAGAGACAGTGACATGGCCACAGAGGACTAGAGCAGAGAGTGAAGCATCCAGCTGATATGAAATGAGGGTCGATGCACAAGAACACCTATGCTTGCAGATACTACCCACTTGACCTGGCTTTGATAGCTAGATGATCAGAACTCAACTAGAAGAAGAAAGAAGAGGGAAGAAAAAAACAAAAGAGTAGCCCACTACAATTTGATGAACTTTACCTATATTTATGGATATAGAAGCTCAAAAAAGAAAACAAATCTTTACAGCGAGGATCACTACTGT